CTTGGCAGCTGTACCAGCTCTAGCCTAGGGCTTTAAGAGGGGCAGGGAAGCAGGCCTAGGCAAGTGGTGGCCTCTTTCTGGTAAACTGGGAGATGCTGGTCCTGTAACTTGATGCTTGCTACACTTCCTGTCCTAGACAAGCACCCATCCCTCAATGGAGGCAAAGACAGAGAGACTGGGCTGGCATGAGACTGCCCAAGAGAAAATGAAAGGGCTAAAGGGAGAGAGATCAGGGCAGCAAGGGAGGGGATGTTAGCTCTGACCTCCTCATGGACTACACCCAGCTAGTGTCAACAGTGGGTTCTGCCCACATGGCTAGGCTGGTTCGGGGACCTAAACAGGATTGGTATGTGGCAGGAAGGATTATCAGCCATGCCAGTGGCCTTAGGGGCACCTGATGTTCCTCCATACTGAGCAAAGGGGCAGTTCCTCCCAACAGCAATCAGGACATGGCAGAGGAAGTACAGAGCTTCCTCTGTGGAGGGGTGAACTCCAAAGGACCACTCCAGGCTGCATCAACTGGGTATCTGTGAGAAGGCACTGGAGAACAACAAACACCCAACCAACTTTTCCTGCAGCCACACTGCAAAGTGGGTGGATTACCAGCCCCAGTGAAGGGGTCACCTGGATTCTAGCTCAGCTGGACCAGGGAACAGGGCTTCAAAGCATCATTAAGCTGAGGTGAGAGGATTTCGCATATGCAGAGGAGGCAGGTTAGAAGCAACATCCAAGGGCTGAAGGTAAGGCTGCAGTGAAGCTACATCTGCATAAACCATTTGTGCCACAGCTAACACAGTGGAGGCCAGATTGCAGGGAGGGTGCCTAGGCACCGCTATCCCACAAATAAAATATTAATGAAAGTGATGATCAAGAAAACGGCTGTACCTGGACTGTAGACAGGCCTTGGAAAAACAAAAGTCTAGGTTTTATGCAAATGCTGCCTGGGCTAAGGAACAAAGGGGAAGGGATGCAGCATATGATGTATTGGCAGGGCTGCCTCTAAACAACGTTTCTCAAAGTTTCTCAAGAGTCGGCAGCTCCTTAAAAGGTTCATATTAATTCTGTCACATTAGCAAAAATAGGCAAAATGACACAGCTTGGGAAAGAGATTAAAGGAGGACCCCTTCTGCTCACTTCATAAAGGAAGGCCCCATTAACACCTTGTGAAATATTAGCCATTAATCAGCCTCCGCACAGAGGAAAACCATCCACATGTATCATTATTGGATCCTTAATGAAGTGATAATGGGAATGCCGGGGAGCTGGGATATTAATGTCTCCTAAGAGGCAAAAGCACTGCCAAGGCCAGGAGCCAGGATTTTTAATTTACTGCCAAAAGCTTCCACTGTTAATAATGGAGTTACTTATCCTGAACATTATCACTGTTTGGCCACAAGCTTTCCACACACAGAACAAACTGGGCCTGAGATCACACAGTGCCAGCTGCTGGGTTTGCTGATCCTCTCCCTCTTGGCTTCCTCGGGGGCAGGAGTGGGCTGAGCATCCCACTGCAATCTTCCCAGCAGGTCGTCTCCTTCAAGCTGCTGCTCTGTTTCCCTTTCCCTCACTCTCATTCCATTTTCTTTGTGCTGGTTATGGCATTCCCTGTTTGTATGGAGCCTGCCTGGTGCCTGCCAGCTGGAAATGCTTGACTTCTTTTGGAACCATATCTTTGGACTGATCAGTCAAGCACCGGTCTTACCTGCTTGGACTTCAGATCTTTCCCCCCCATCCCCCTTCTGCCTGGATCTCTGCATCGGACAGGTGGATTAGCTGTCTGGTATACTACTTCAGGGCTTGGTTTCCATTTTCTTTCAAGCATAGGAAGTGCAGACTGTATATATTAAAGGTTGCATGAATCTGACAGGTTCATCAGTATACTGTATACAGTATCTCTCCATCCTTTCCATGTTACTGTCTTAGGTGTTAAGGTCCTTGGAGCTGGGATTGTATCTTCCTATATGTCTGTACTGCCTTAGGGATCTGATTAGACTGGAGTCTCTAGGTATATTATTACTGTAATAGAACTAATGAGCACTGGTTCCCCCTTTTGCAATTTTCCAAGCAGATTCAGATTATTCCCAGGCTGACACAGGCAAATCCCACACGCAAATGTGCTTGAATTCCCTAGTGATGAATTCACAGTCTTCCCAGGAGAGCGGTGACATCCTCTAGGCTCTGGAGGTAAATCCATCACACTTCTGAGATCCCTCTGACATCTCCCGGATGTCCTGGAGGCAGCAGCAATAATACTTCACTCTTTACATGCTCTTTACATGGTCCCAGATGCAATTCCAATGTTCACTAATGAATCCTCACAAAACCCCTGCAGGTCCCCTGTGCTCACATCACTGTGCAAATGGGGAAATCAAGGCAGAGGCAGGATAAAAGACTTGTCCAAAGCCTGACAGCACAGGACTGTTGCAGTCACGGTTAGAACTGAAGAGTCTGACTCCCTTTTACCAGTCTCTCCAGACCTTTCTTTCACTCACTATGGGCAAAGGCTTGGCTCCCAGAAGAAAGAGCAGTATTATAGCAGTAAGTAGAGGGGAGGTGGACTTGATACCTTTGACTGTATGGGTGTAAATGTAATAAATCCCTTAGCTTCAGTACAGCTGGGCAGATGCTCAGATCCTTTATCCTGCTCAGCCTTCATGCAGATGTATGCCCACACTGCCCAAGCAGTGTTTCATACAGTGGTGTCACTGTAAGAGCATGGAAAGGGACCCATAAGAGAGCGCTTTCTGCTGTTGGAGACTGCAAGGGGAGCTCTCTCATCTTCAATCCCCAGCCTTTTTTCTGAGTGGCAGCAGAGCTATTTGTAGTGTTGAGTGCCTTCAAGAGGAAGAAATCAGTCAGTCTGTAACATGCACATACACTCTCCATTGGTTACACCATGCAATGTCAGGGCATCGGGCTGCTGGAGCCATGTTTTCCTAAACCGAGAACCTACATGACCAATTAGCTCAGGAGTGAAGCCTACAGCCACATGGTTAGGAAACATTTGAAGAATTACTCTAGCCTCAGTGTCCTTGACCATCTTTGCCTGGCCCAAAGGAGATGGGACAAGAAAAAAAGTCCACAGAAGCCAAGTGAATGCAGATGCAAAATGTACTTCAAACAGCCGTGTCCTTTCATCAGACCTTTTATCAGTTTCCTCCTTCACAACATGAACTCATTTTAATTAATACTGAATTGTGCCTATTTAAAAAGCCAGGATGATGTCAGCGGCACATGTACGATAAGCATCACGGGGATTTCTCTGAAGAAGTGCATGAATGCCAGCTCCAGCAGCATTCCCAAGGACTAATGCAATGTTTGGCACGTGGAAAAGGTTACATGTGCATAGGAGAGCACAAGGGTGAGATCCTTAACTGCTATAAACATATTCTGTTGAGTCAGGGGAACTATATGGATTCACAGAGCTGTCTAGTTCATCCCATTTTTATGAATCCTTGCAAAACTTTTTTTCTGTGCCATGAATCATTTGAGTAATGCTGTAAATTTGAGATCTCCACTCTGGTGCACCTGCTGCACTACTGAGGGCAAGTTAAACAGAGCAAGCAGTGCTCCAAGTACCTCCAGGTTAAATACATCTGGTCTACTGCAGGATGGCCTAGGTCCCCCTGGGTTGCGCTCGTCTGCTGGGGAGACCGCCTGCTCTACTGCCAGTCTCCCAGTGATAAGTGAGAACAGTACAGCAGAGGGCTGGCAGTAATAAGGTAAGAGCTAAAATCTGGTCTGATCTTTTAAATCCGATTCAAATTCAGACTGACTCCACTTAGCTGGATTTTCACCCATTCAACAGAGAGAAGTCTGGTATGAAGCAGTTAGCATGGCTCTTCAGCCAATGGTCCTGACCCATAACCAAGCACTCTGAACACATTCTTGTTCCTTTCACATTTATTATTTGTACAACTATCATGCACAGAGGCTTAACCAGAAGACATGGCCTGGCCACACTGAAACATGGTGAAAATAATTAAAATGGCACCCTCTGTAATTCATTGGAAAACTGGGAGAGCATGCACAGAAAGGTAGCCAGGCTCCTCTTTACTCAGTCTTACCCCTGACACTATTCATTCACTCAGCTTTATAATACTCTGTAGGTCTCTACTACCGTCTATCAGCAGACCTCAATGCAGTTACCAAACATTTGGTAATTCAACCCTGTAAGGTAGGTACTGATTAGCATCCCCATGTTACACAACAATTGAGGCTCAGAAAATAAGTAACTTTATATATAGCAGCGTTGGAACAGGATAGATTATCCAGTAACTAGACAAGCCTTAATCAAGGGGGACAGGGACTTCCAACTCTGGCTCAGCCCTGTGCTTCTCTTCTGGCATGTTTCTGAAAGGCAGCATAGGGTGTAGGCCTGCCATGACAGTCCTGTTCCACTCTATACCTGACAGAGAGACTCTATTCATAGACAGAATTGAAGACCTGAAGCTGGAGGTGTTCTGTGCCTTCTAACCATGTTGCTGGCATTAACCTTCACTGGAAAACCTGTGTATCCTGATGAATGTCCAACCCCTCTGAATCTCTGTAAGGACAAATGGCCAATGACATCACTGCTTACAGTATGGACAAGGAAATATAGTTGTCCGCAAGGTTAGATCAGCCACACGGCAGAGCTCCATCTGTCTGAAAACAGTTTGACGCATAAGTGACCTATTAAATCAGGGCTGAATATTCGAAAGAACTTGGCTCCCAATTTAGCACTGTAATAAACATCTAGATTTTTGAGAGGATTGAACATACTGGGTCAGGTTGGTTGCTGAACTCTGCAGCTTCTTTCAAAATCTGGCCCCAGACGTGGGCTCTGACTCCTTGAAAATCCAGCTTCTAGTTAGTCTGTCCACATATTGTCCTAACATATGTGGCAAAATAGGACCCACATATAACTTTGTGACAAAGCTGAAGTAGCCACTCCTCTGTACTGGCCCCAGAGGCACAAGGAATCCAGTCTGAGAAAGCTGTAGCCCCAGAAGCTTTGCCCTTTATTTTGTTCCATGGAACTAGCAGAGTTAATCAGAGTGACAGCAACATCTGACTTTACACAGTGAAAAGGTCAATACCTCAAGCTGGAGGCTGGATTGTTTTTTTGACCAGTTTGGAAATAATACTTGGAATGCTCATAGCCTACACACTGACAGCACAGAGTGCTGCCCCATGAAATACCAGCCAAGGGGGAAAAAATGTCACCACCTAAGGTAGCAGAGAAGGTCACTGGAAGGAGGGGAAGGTGCATGTTCAGGTTTTTGCACCAATGCATCTGAATCATAGTTCACATGATTCTTCACACAGTGCAGTGAAAATACATTTGGCTGTGGCATTTACGTCACATATCCAAGATCAAAGGTTAAACTGAACTGATGTGCTTTTGGCCATCTCTGCTGCATTTGCAATGCCTTGGATTCAGGGCCCTTTGTACTGATCTAAAGCACCTTGTTCACATAATGAGCCTGAGCTTTAAAATGGCAAGCTAAAGATCAGAACTAAGAGTCAGATGTCGTCCATGGAAGTGGGAGACCTAATTCCCACAGACGTTTTGGAAAACCCCAGTCTTACTGTCTTGCTTTTATTTTGATGTTTTATAATCATGTGACTTCACTCATGGGAAGCACATGCAGACTAAATGTAAATGCTCCTCGGGTTAGTTCTGGACCAGTCTGAATGGATACAAGAGCAAAAAACAGTCTACGCTGGCCAAGTGCTGTCCTTGCCAGTCAGCAGTCCTGCTTTCCTGAATTATTTGAAACCAGAGTCAAAATGTACCCTTCAGTGGTACTTGGGCAGAAAGGTTAACCCAGCCAAGATATCCATAACACTGGTGCCGTGCTTCCCTTTCTCTGATCCTAATTAAAACAGATCCAGTGTTCCTGCTGCTCATGCCATGGTTACCCACTCCTGTGCCTAATTAATGTAACCTTTATGTCCAGGATATCTGCAGCCTTGACAGCTACCCCTAATTTAAGCAGCTGGGATTTGTCTGTAATGTTAGTGCCCTCTGTTTACCCTTGCCTCTCATTAAAAGCATCTGAATATTTGGTGGTGTTACTCTCATTATCTGTCTCTGGCCCTAATTAAAACAGCCTGTATGTCCATGACATTAGTGCCTGTTAAACCTGTCATCAGCAGGTGACATCCATTTTGGAATTTACTGAAGAATGTGTACGAGTCATTATTGCTTAGAAATGCCTCCACCTCGAGACCTTCCTGGCCAGCCCTGTCTACCAGCTCCAGGCTGGAGAAGGCACCAGCAGCCTCTGTTGGCCCATCCTGCCCATCAGTTCCCCCACTGAGGAACATGACCTCCCATCCAGCAAGGATGCCACCAGCCCTGGTGGACTTAGCTTTGTGCAGCTCCAACCCCACCCGCAGAGCCAGCTCCTGGTTCCTCCCACCCTGCCCACTTCCTTGCACCTGGACCGTTGTCTCTCCACCAGCCAGGAGGCAAACTGGCCTTTCAGGTCCAAATCCCTGCAAAGTCCTTAGAAACTCCGTAAGATTCAGACTGGGGATGTCTAGCTCTGCCGCCAGTTGTAGGAGATCACTTCTCACCTTGTCAATTAAAGAATCTACTCCAGGTCCAGCCATACTCAAGCAGACAAACTGAATCAGCAGACCATAGAGTTTGGCCACTCTGTTGACTTCCCCACAGACAGCTGCACTCAGAATCAGAGTCAGGTAGCCCAGAGCCTCTGCTTGGTGTTTGGCTTCTTCTAAAGCCAAACTGTTTGAACCAATGATGACATTATAGACATGGGAATAGTCTTTAGAACGAACAGAATCTGAACTTGAGCTGTGCAGCACTGTCTCCACAGATTTGGGCAAGCTGCTCAGCAGATTGTATTTTGCCAGGATTTCAAAGCAGTCTTGGGTGCTGTGGGAACTGGCAACAGTGGGACCACTTGCTATAAAGTCTACTGGGTCACCAATGACATCAGAGAGGATGAGGCTCAGCACCTAGAAGCAGAGAAGACTGCCAATCAACACAGTGCCTGCAATGAAGACTCATTAACATAAAAAAAAATTACTCTTCTACAAACTTACAATGAAATCATTTAATAAAAAACAATTTCAGACAGTGCTTTTACCCCATTCATGGCACCATTATGCTAGGGACCCAGACAGTTAAGCTGGCTAAAAATAAACTGACCAGCTGTTTTTTATTCCCTAACCCAAAAGGCAGAGGGTTCAGAATGCCCATAGTAGGGAAAACCCCTTCAAATTTGTCTTGCAGATCTGAATTTCTTTTTAAATGCTAGAGTTGTTCGTTTTATTTTGGTAACTACAGACCACAAGGTTCAGTCCTTACTTCTTGGATACATCTTTGGAAAGTGCACGTAAGTAGCATGATGATCAAAGAGGTGGAATTCTTTTTGTCTCCACTGGGAGCTGAAATTGCCCAGCATTTCCAAACCTCAGGACACTTCTGCTGCAGTATTTGTGACCCTGTCTCTCAACCTCATTTAAAAGAAGCTCAGAGCCAAAGCTCTAGACAAAGAGGACACCTCCCATACCTACCTGTGCAGGATAGGCAGCCTGAGCCAGCCCTCCACCCTTCAGCATGGACAGGGCCTTCCGGATGGTGTTAAGTTCTTGGATGGTAGCTCCTCTGGAAGCCAGCAGCTTGGTGACTTTCTCTTTCTCTTCAAGGAGCACAGGAGGCTTGGGGGCAGGCAACAAGGCTGATCCACCTCCTACAGTGCAGAATCTACAGTTAGTGAATGTGTGTGTACAGCAGAGGGGCTGGGACCTCAGTGGGGGAATCCCATAGCTTCTGTTTGCTTCTTTCTCTTCCTTTACTGGTTGGTTAAGAAAATTTAGTGCTGGGGAAGAATTAGCTAAACTGCCTTGTAAGCTGAGGTCTTCTATCTGTCCCTAGACCAGAGCTGGATTTCCACACCTAAAAATCTATACACAGGCACAATTCTCCACTCACATTGCAGTAGCATTTTACATCAACCTTGGCATGATTACCAAGCAAGGCGCAAGGCAGGGGAAGACTCAGCCCAATGGCTACTGATTCCTCTACACATCACTACTAACATGCCTCAAATCTGACCTTCAGAGACTATTGGGATGGGAGAGCAGAGACAGCCAACTCCAAGGTTCACTCGGCAACAAGCTCTAGGTTTTAATGATCTCCTTTGTACTGAGTAGCATTTACAGAAATACAGCAATGTCTATGAATAAACATGAAACTGTACTACTCTGAAAGGATTCTTGAGAGATGGGTCCACTGGGAGGGCAAAATAATGCAGAGATTAAAAAAAAGGCTGGATACCCCAAGGATTGTCATGTTAGGGTGCGATCAATGGGAGTTACATGAACACAAACGATGTGATCAGACATTTGAAAAGCAAAGAAAGAAAGAAACACAGCACAGAGGGAGAGAGAGAGAAGAGATAAGAGAGGGTGATTATGTTCAGAAGCATCACTGGAAAATTACTGTAAAAGGGCGAATGTTGTTCTGAGGTCTGGGACAAACCAAGAGCATTTTGCCCCCCTGCCAGATCAGCCAGTCCCTCAGTGACCCCCATTATTAATTTGCAGACTTGGATACCAAGTCAAATCCGCACCTTGATACCAACACCTGCAGTCACGGCTGACCAAAGCATTGCTTCCCCCACTTGTGTCCCCAGTTTTAGGCACGGGACACCAACCATTCAAAGGAAACAAAACATCTCCCATGACTGTGACAGTGGACAGGCCCGGGGGTCTGTCCTTTAAAACAGAAACAAGGAAATAAGCATCACTGATTACATTGATTTCATAGGGTCAAACTGCAGCAGCTCAGAGCAGACTCTGCTTGGAGCTGGGGATTGGGTTAGCTTGTTTTAAAACAGTGGTTTTTGACTGCCTGGCACCACTGCCTGGTGAAACTATGTCCTTCTGCTTGAAATTGCTGGAGGAACAACAGAGCAAAGCCTGTGGGAACAGTGTGATAAACAGTAACACAGCTGCCTGGCCCAAATTTTGGGACTCCTGACACTGGTGAATACAATAGCACCTTGCCTCTCAAAGAGCAGCCCAAGCTCTAGACACTCAGTGCCAAAGGGATGCAGCCACCTTGGGAATGGGAGTGACAGGTGAGGTGGGAGATTGGAGACCCAGGAATCATTAGCAGGCTCCTCTGAGAGGCCTGGTAGGCAGAGAGATGAGTCAGCCTCAGAGCCTAAGTTACTGCTGTCTCTCTGCTGCCAGCATGCCAGGTACTGAAGTGTGAATTGTGAGCTGCCACCAATGTGGGAGTCACACTGGGAATGGCTCTGACCCACTTTCCACCTCTCCTCTGTTTCCTCTGCAACAGGCAGCTTGACCTAGTTTGCCAGTTGTGAGTCTGGATTTTCTTCCTGCACATATAAGGAGAGAAGTCTGAGAGGAGGCAGAGGAAGGAGAGATGGGGCAGAATGGGGCAGCAGCTACAGGGACCCAGGCAAAGAACCTCGTCCCTGCTCCTGGGATGTTACCTGAGATCAGGACAAGGAGGAGGTCATCAGCTGTCAGACCCTCTGCCAGCTCACAAATGGCCCTGGCTGCCCTCAAAGCCTCTCTGTCAGGGAGGTTGTACTTAGCTCCTTCTATGACCTGGATCCTGCTGTGTGGCTTTAGCAGCATTTCCCTGCAAGAGGCAGAGAGGGTGTCAGGCCACTGACATTTACAGTTTCTCCAAACAGTTGGGCACTGCCACTCCCAGCAGAGGGAAAGGGGGGCTGGGGAACAGGAAGGGATACATTTATGACTGAGGCTATGTGTACAGGAGACACACTGCTCTATGGAATGATCATTGGTGATAGCCCCTGAAGGGGATGCAGACCTGCCAGGGCTGGACTACAAGCCTGGTGGCCATGATGCAAGATCAAGGCTGGGGGTTAAAACTGGGACAGGTTGGTGAAGAACCAAGAGGGATTCAGCAACGACCCCGGGGGGAAACATGACAAGGCAGATGCTCCTGCAGGGCATGGATTTTCATGCATGTCTGTCCTCCATCACTTTGCCCCCATCCCACCAAACAGGCAGGGACTTGGCCTCTT